GGGAACCCTGGCAGCCCCAGCACAGCCATGGCTGGGCAACCCCGACCCCCGCGCACCGACACCCCGCGCCCCAGGCTCCTTCCTCCCCACTCTTAGTCCCTCAGCCTGCAGCCCGTGTGTGGCATGCGCATACATACCACAGACCTGCACATCAAAACAATCCCCCGGCCAGCGCTGAGTCCCTGCCATTCCAGGGATCCCGTCCCTTACCAATAATAAATCAAGCTGATGGTTTGCTTTGTCTGTCACCATTTCTGTCAGAGCCCCACACAAAGCCACTTGGGATTTGGGTCAGTCTACATACAAACAGTTCTTTGCTACAGTTCAAGGTTTTAAGAGGACTCCTGAACATAGGGGAGGTTTAGATTGGACATTAGAAAAAAATTCCTAACTGCCAGGGTGGTCAAATATTGGAATAAATTGCCAAGGGAGGTGGTGGAATCTCCCTCTCTGGAAATATTTAAGAACAGGTTGGATAGACATCTGTCAGGGATGGTGTAGACGGAGCTTGGTCCTGCCTTGAGGGCGGGGGGCTGGACTCGATGACCTCTCGAGGTCCCTTCCAGTCCTATAATTCTATGATTCTATGATAGACACACAGAGCCAGCCTGAGGGTTTGAGGAAAGGTTAGTGTGCTGGTTCACTGGCAAATACTATACTACAAATTTAACTGACCTTTTCCCTCACTTCCTCTACTCCACCAAAGCTTTAGTCTGTGCCTGTATGTTTCCCCTTTTTCTTGATTTTGCACTTTTTCCCATGCTGCCCCTTATGCATGGTATACCCTTGCTGAACAAACCTCTCTTCACAACTTATATACATACATATTACATATTTGTGGTGACACCTACAAGAAATTAGCTAAGTTAAGAGAGCAGTTAATATGGACCTGACTCCATTGTCCCTGTGAGTGACATCGGCATATCGCACAGTGGCTGCATGCTATGTGTATCACCAGTGTGGAGGGAAGCATTCTAAGTCTTACATTCTATAGGACCTGCCTCCCAGGAGTTCCCATTAATACTATCATGCTTAGTGTAACTAAGTACACTTTTAATTTGGCTGTATATAAATACTAGGCCCAACTATTAAATAACAAGAAAGATCTACAGTCTTCAGTCCTTAGCCCGGCCCTGAAGTTAGGGTTGCCAGATGGTTGAAACAAAAATACCGAACACCGCCCCCCCCCCCCAAAAAAAAAACACCAGGGAAAAATTCTGTTGAAGGAAAAAAAGGGGGATGGGGGAGACCAAGCAAAAAAAAAAACGGACTCCAAGACTTAAGGAAAAAATAAAACAGCATGTCCCCTTTGAGAGTGAGTGCAGGACTAGGAACAGGAGAGACATTGAGCATTAAGACCCAGGGGAAGTATTGCTTACCCTTGGTTGGCAGCCATTTTGTGCCGGCAGCCTTGCGGAACCAGGTAAGCATGGGGGCTGGGGGTGTTGCGAGCTGGGGGGGCCAGGCACTGAGTGTTTGTAGGGTTGCCAGGTGCCCAGCATTTTCGCCTCCTGTCCGGGGAAAATTTCAGAAAATACCGGACATTTTAGGTGTCCGGTATTCTCTGAATTTTGTTTAACGGACAAGAGGCGAAAATACCAGACTGTCTGGGTGAATACTGGACACCTGGCAACCCTACCTGAAGTTTATGAAGGCAATGCAGCCCAGGATTATGAAGGTAGCTAAGTGTCAGTGTCCCAGTATTGCCTTGGCTGTAACAATATGGTTTTTTCCCTGTTGTCATATTGGAAGGCCTAAAGCCTTCCTCTGCAGCCAGATTAAAGAGCAGCAGCCATTAGCTATAAAGCTTGAAGTCACACACTCACATTCTATCTGAATTGCATTAAAATAGTGTCATGCCAGGCTGTTAGAAGGCGATCCTATCTTAATGGCAGTCATTGTCACCAGATAAAGAAATAGAATGCAAGATGGGTAGAGAAAACAGTTAACAGCATTTTGTCTGGCAAGAAACTTTATCAATAGTTGAGGTTGTGGAATCCTCCTTCTATGATTATGGTCCTCACTTTCCTATTGTTTGTATGGTCTCTGGTTTTTAACTGTTTCTGTCTGCTATATAATTAATTTTGCTAGGTGTAAATCAACTAAGGTGGTGGAGTATAATTGATTAGGTAATTCTGTTACAGTATGTTAAGATTTGTTAGTAAAATAATTGGTTAAAGTATAGATAAGAAGGACTCAAGCTTCACTATATAAACTGGGATCCAAGGAGACCAGCAGGAAAGGAAAGACCTCGAAGAAGAGTTCACCTCCAAGATCAGAGCTGCCAGAACTCTGCTGTACGACCCTGACGTGCAGCAACTAGGATCTAGAGACACTGACCTTGCCTGGCCAACGAGAAGTTTGCCTGCCTTGATCAGGATTGGTGAGCATGACACTGTGTGCTCAGCATGTGTATTTTGCTTGCTTGGTAATTGTCAATAGAGAATAAGAATATTACTTTGTAAGGTTCTTTCAGTGGCAAAAGATCCTGCAGACCCTCAGGAAGTTGCACCCTGAGCCCTAGGAATTTGGTAAAGGAAGGTGTTTAAATTAACAGGGTTGCACTTTGAGCCCTAGGAATTGGGTAAAGGTGCGTGTCCCTAAAGTGTGGAAAGGATAAGGAAATGTGTGCAGGTAACAAGACCTCCTGCAGCAAATGTCAAAATCACTATCCAGTAATAGTAGGCAGCACTAATTGTCACACATGTGGCAAATGGGGGAGAGGGTTGATGTTCAAAAATCAAAAGACTAAAAATACAGCCTCATATTTCTGGGGCCAGCTGGGGAAGACAAGTTCCAGCCCCACCCCTTCTGCCCAAAGCTACCGTGCCCACTCACTGATCCTTCCAAGCAATGTGGAGAGCCAGGGCTGCTGTGCTGTGTGGGAGAAAAATCAAATAACTCCAATTGTGTCTAAAGGGGGGACTGTGCAGGAAATAAAAACTCTCTAAAAGAAAACTGCTGTAAGGGTTAAAAGTTTTCCAGGCCTCTCTCCCTGTAACTGAGAGAAATCAAATTAACTCTAATCAAGAACCTTGCAATGCCTATCTCAAGTTCATGAAGACTCCTAGTCTGTCACAATTTGTCATGTAAACCCTTATCTTTGTCACAGTTTGCCTTGTAGACTTCTCCACTCAAGTTCTGATGTGGCTTTGTACTGTAAAACTTACTTCTAGCACTCCTGGTGTGAACAGAAACGTCTGAGTACTTCTGCTGAGACTTTGATATGTTAAAGAAAACAATCAACAACTGAACTGTCTAAGCATTCTGTATAAAGGATCCCTAAACCTGTATCTCAGGGCTGACTGCTATTGCTCTGCTGTCAGCCTGCATGCATGCATAATAAAGTTTTCCTTCTAGGTTTCTCTCCTGCCTCACTGATTTGACTTCCAGCCTCGGACCCTTCTGGGGCTCTGTACCCCAGGGGAGCGAGATTTCCCCCACAGCTGTAACCCCAGCCCGGCACTCCTGGGCAGCCAGGGAGAGCTGGACTGCTGCACAGTGGCCCTGTTCTTCCCTGGAAGCCAGGTGGAGCTGGACTGCTGCACCACAGCCCAGCCTTCCCCAGCAGTAGCTCCGGCCTTAGGTGGTCAGGCATGTAGGCAGTTTTGGGAAGGCTGTGCCTTCCCTTGCCTACAATACTGATTGTCCATGCTCATGATATTTTGGGGTCTGACCTGTGGGGGTTGGTAATACTGCTGTGCAAGTGTGCCAGGTTGCAGCCCCTTTTCCAGCTCCTCCAGAACTTTCTGCTGAGGTTCTGGCCGCACTTTTCCCCGTACCTCTTCATTTTTGTACATGGCCCCATGAAGGTGCAGGACCTTCTTGCCAGCCTCCTCCTGGAGGCTCCTGACCAAGGCTGCTATCTACAATACCAGGAGATGCTCTGCAACTGTTGGCCTATTTCCACTCCGCCCTGATCTCACCTATCCAGACAGAGTTCCTCTGGGCAGCATCCACTGCTCCATAGACTGCTTTGAGGAGCAGTGGGCACTGTCTGGGATTCTCTGCCCTGTGTCCCCCTCTGCTTCCCTCATTTTGCACCTCTGAACTTGTTTTTCATTAGTTATCCTCCATAATCACTTAAGAACATAAGACCATAAGAATGGCCATATTGGGTCAGACCAAAGGTCCATCTAGCCCAGTATCCTGTCTGCCGACAGTGGCTAGCACCAGGTGCCCCAGAGGGGGTGGACTGAAAACAATGATCAAGCAATTTGTGTCGTGCCATCCTTCTCCAGCCTCTGGCAAACAGAGGCCAGGGACACCTTTCCTACCCCCTGGCTAATAGCCTTTAATGGACCTAACCTCCATGAATTTATCTAGCTTCTCTAGGAAGGTAGGTTCAGTGATCTCTCCCACAAGACTTGGGGAGGATCCTTTAGAAGTTTTCCAGTAAGGCTCTCAGCAAGCCTGTGGCTCTGAACCAAGCATAATAATCCCCCTTTGAACTGAGGCCTTTATTTCCTTTTCCCTGTACAGGCAGTCCCCGACTTACGCGGATCCGACTTACGTCGGATCCGCACTTACGAACGGGGCTTTCTCGCCCCGGAGGTCGGGGCGAGAAAGCCCCGTTCGTAAGCTGCTCCGGTGCCCCTGGTCTGCTGGAGACCGTCTCCAGCCGACCAGGGGGACCCGGC